GGTCGAAGATTACGGAAGGGGGGCGGACTTGCGCACAACACTTATCGTAACCACCGGATCAGGCAACTCGCAAATACTCCAAAACAAAGCTCCCGCTTGGTCCATCAATCCCAACACTCAAAACCCTGAATCCGCGACCCTAGACCATAAACCCCTAAAATCTTTAAGGTGGCGCGCATCGAGCACAATCCGGAGCCAGTGCGGGACTCACTCCTGGCAAATGTATCTTAAGGTTTCAGGGCTCTGTTTTGTTTGGAGGTTTCCGGTAGGCTCGAAGGCTGTGCTTGCTGGTCTGATATGAACCTGGATGATGATGCCTAGAACCACATGTACTCGCTGCTTTTCCATTTCAAGAGGGCGCCATGGTATCCGAACTCACAGGCCGGAGTGGGGCACAGAAGCATAGTGTTCAGGGTTTAGGGTTCAGGGTTTAGGGTTTAGGGTTTAGAGTTTAGGGTTTAGGGTTTAGGCTTCAGGGTTTAGGGTTCAGGGTTGGGGGATGATCCAGACTACTGGCGAAATCCCAGTGTGGTGGTCAAGCACTGCAGGGATGGTCTGCAGTTGAGGAGACGGCAGGACGACAGCACGTGGGATGGGCCGTGCGGATCAGAGTCCTGCCGAAAGATCTCGCTCAAGTGAGCGTGCAGCTCGTTGGAGGAACTGTGCCTTTGAAAAGCCTAGGGGTTTAGGGCTTGAGGGTCTTTCAGATATACTGTCCTCCTCCTCATAGCAAACCGGTTGCTTTAGTTCCCGTGCGACACTGGTCAAATATGGAAAGGGGCGAGGGCCTCTTTGAGATGGATTTAAATCTGGAGTCGTGAAAAGTCTGCCCAAAGGGGTTAGGGTTGTGGGTTAGGGGTTTAGGGTTTTTAGGGTTTAGGGTTTTTTTGGGTTTAGGGTTTTTAGGGTTCCGGGTTTAGGGGGGTTGGGGTTAGGGTCTTGAAGCCCTAAACCCATGCTACCTGTAATCTCCAGTGTACTGTAGTCCTTGCTTTTGGTTTCTATAGGATCCAAGCCTCAAAGCCCGGAACCAAGTTTAGCCAAGATATGAGCTTTGCAAGAGTTATGTTCCGTTAAGGTTTCTTGCAAGTTCTTTTGTACACCAACTTTTGTTGGGTAAGGCTTCTTGCAAGTGTATTGTACACTTGTTGCAAGAATGTTTAATTACAGTTCTTCTATATTGAAGGGAATTCCGCGAGGGTTCTATCAGCGCTCTACAGGGAACCTCTGACAATCCGAACCCATGCAGCTAGGAGGAGCCAAAAAGGGATTCAGCTGTAAGGCCCTAAGCCCTAAACCCTAACTACAAGTTCTAAACCTTAAGCCCCCCAAACCCTAAACTCTCTAAAGCCCTAAACCCCTAAACCCTCTAAACCTCCTAAGCCCAATAGCCCAAGACACTGAAGCCCCGAGCCCGGCCCCTTCAGAGATTTCCCCAAGGTTGCCTTCAACCTTTGCGCTGTCGGAGAAGTGCCGGCCCTCTCTCTGGAGAAGGAAGAGGCATGAGGGTTGGGTTTAGGGTTTAGGGAAATGAGTTCGAGCGGATTTGTAGGGGGCCTTGGCATCGAGGGTTTGGGGTCCAGTATTCCGGGTTCAGGCTTCAGAGACTGTGGAGTTTAGAGTGCCAGGTTAAGGGGTTAGAGTGGTGTTAGGGGAAATGTTGTCGCGCACGAATACAGCATGTGGGGATGTCAGGGCTTTAGGGCTTGCTTTGCTTTGAGGCTCTATAGGGCTGAAGCATCAGTGGGTTTGGGTGTTTAGAGTTCAGGGTTTAGGGTTCAGGGTTTAGGGTTTAGGGGTTGTCTCAATTCCGATTCCGGAATTGAATTTAGGGTCTGCGGATTTCAGGGGTTGCGACTCTAGGGCCAGGCTTCAGGACATGTTGTAGGGTGCCTTGCGGGGGCACCTTTGGTCAAAGCTCTTGACTGTAAGAAGTAGCCGGAAAGGAGCCACTGCTTAGAGAAGATCCACTGTTTCGAGAGGATCCGCGTACTCACATCGGGTTTGAGCTGAGGGCTTATGGTTCAGGTTGTCTTCTGGGCTCATTGCTTCTGAAAGCGTCTTCTGTTCGAAGTAGACACCTTGTCTAGTCAGCTCTTAGAGAACAAGTCGTTGGATCCACAGCTACGGGGGTGAAAGGGGGCCGAAATAGTTAACAGCGATCAAAGCACTATACGCTCATAATATCCCTAGAAAGATGTACTAAGTATCCCCCCGAAGCCCTGTTCTGGTCATAGCAGCCCTCTTCAAGCCTACTGACTTTGTGTTCTTGGCTTGTTTTTTTGAGTCCCCCGCAACAACCAGTTTTCCGGGTTTGAGAGCTTGGGGAAGTTTAGGGTTTAGGGTTTAGGGAGTTTCAGAGTTCAGAGATATGGCTCTGTAGTGTTCATGTCTTATGCTGGATGTTCAGGTTTTGGAGACCCTTCCAGCTATCATCATTGCCTGGCTTGAAGCCCGGGCCACAGGTGGATTTCGGCAGACTGATGATGAACATTCGCGCCGACGATCAGCGGGCGCAGGGCCCAGATTTGACATTTTCGGGGCTTGGGGCGTGGGCTGTTGGGCTTCGGGTTATATTAGGGGTTCAGGACATGCGGGGGTTGCTCGGAGGTTCACGGGTACCCATAGGCCCCTAAGTAGTTCCTTTTAGGGATTACCTTATAGGATTCTTATAAATATACAACTTAAAAAGGAACTACTTAGGGGCCTATGGGTAGTTATAAGCGCGATTATAAGTCCCCTGATATGGGCTTTGCTGGGGAAGGGTTTGGATTTGCGCAGCTGGGCACATGCGCGAAGCTGTTGCAAAGCTGCTTGGAGGTTGCAGTTTTAGGGTTTAGGGTTTAGGGTTTAGGGGTTTAGGGTTTGCGGTCCACCATGGGAGCCTGCAGCGGGGGAGTAAAGTCGCCCTGAATTATAGTCTCATACCATAATGCTCGAATGTATGCCAGAACCCTATTCAAAATGGGCGCCTGCAGTAGTTTGTAAGGGTGGGGTTTGGGTAGTGGAGCGCAGAGTTTAGAGTCAGGAAGAGCTGAGGCTCAACCTGTTAACCCCCTGAGGTTTGTAGCATCCAGCCCGAATTGAAGCTATCGATACTTGCCCCGAAGCACTGCGCCGCAAGCCCAACAACGCAACCTGCGAACCTTAAGCCTTAAGCCTCATAAGCCCTAAAACCTTAAACCCCAAACCCTAAACCCGAAAACCTAAACAACAAACCCTAAACTCCTCAGCCCTGAAATCCTGACCCTTGAACTCTACAAGCCCCCAAACCCAAGCCCAAACTCTCAACCCTCAGCACTACACCCTGAGCCCGAAACCCTAAAGCCCCGAGGCCCTCTAGAAATCTCAGAACCATGATGAGCCATCTTCCTTGTGGGTAGTTGTCTAAACTAGGGCCTCTTTTGGGGTCCTTGTTGTAAGGGTGCCGTACTACATTGGGAAAAAAGGGACCCTAATTTAGAGAACTACCCTTATGGCTCTCTTACAAGGGACCTCATTGAGAAATTCCATATCCCCAAGGGTCGCCCTTATCCTAACTCCCACATCTGTCGCAAGGTGAAAATCAAGAACGAGAGCTCCGTGCTGGTGTCTCAGAGCCGCCTCCGGCGATTCAGGGTTGAAAAGGATGTAGGCAGGTGGGACTAGATGCACGTGCGTAGATGCTTATTTATGTGTGCAGAGGTTCGGGTTTCAAGCTGGTGTTGTCTGCCTGCCTGTGTGCATGCAGGTGTCTGTAGATCTACATATAGATCAGAACAGAGCCTGGCTGCAGGTTGCTAGCCAGCCACTGTTCCCATATACAAGGTGAGGCTGTTCGATGAGGAAGTGTATCAGTATGTAAGCTCTAAAGCAAAGCCCTGAAGCGTCAGAACCCGAACCATGACACAGCCACTCTCAAGTTGGGGGGGGTTCTCTGTTCTGAACTAGGGTCCGTTCTGAACTAGGGTCCCTCTTTAGGTCCCTCAAAATAGTACGGCATTCTTATAAAAAAAGGCCTCAAAACCCAAGACTGGATTGGGGAGGACAAGCCGTCAACCATACAATCAAACCCTACACCCTAGGTCCTCAACCCCTAAACTCTTGCAATCCATTTCGATATTTAGATATAGGCACAGTAAAGTCTGAACCGCTTAAACCCGAAATTCGCATGTAAATCCAAATCCCGAAAGCCCCATACAACGCTTGAAAATCTAGAAAACAGAGCCTAGACAGAAACCCATATTAAGATAGCCCAAAAGGTCTTTGGGCCCAAAAGCCTTTAAATATGAGTCCTTTGAGGGTACGGGTAAGCAAGAACAAGTCTTGAGCCGCCGAGGCCTGTACGGTGGCAGCTGCTCTGCAAGGACTCCAAGGCCGAGGGTCTCTAGGTTTTGTTCTTTCCCAGAAAGGGTTTAGGGGTTTAGGGATTTCAGGCCTTAGGGTTTTGGGGTTTTGGGGGTTTTGGGGTTTAGGGTTTAGGGGTTAAGGCCTTAGGGTTTAGGGTTTTGAGGGTTTAGGGGTTTAGGGTTTAGGGTTTATATAGGGGTTGTGAGGGTTTAGGAGGTTTGAGGGTTTTAGGAGTTTAGGGGTTTCGAGGGTTTGGGGTTTTGCCCGTGTACTGCGAAGCCTTTTTTCAAGGGCCCTACTGCTGGATCCCAATGCACTCTGTGCCACGGGAGGGTGGGATCTTCATGATTCCTGAAGTTACCTCGCTTCTTGAATAAGCCTTAACAAGTTCCGCCTTGTCAGAGCTTGCGTGGGTTTGGGATGTGGGTATTTGATTCCGTTTTGGTCGGAAGCCCTAAGCTCCTCAACCTTTAGCCTTTTTTCCATCCTGCTAGTGTTGGAGGTGTTAGCATCTCCACCAGCGCTTGGCTGCGGCTTAGAGACGACAGCCCAGGTCAGTTGCCACTCGACGCACCCTTCTTCTGCGTCGGAGTCGGCGACTGTCAGATGGGCGGAGGCCGTTACGGAGGGGTCGTGGACCACATCTGGATGCATGACGTGAATGTTGGAAGGGCGCCGCTGCGTGCCATCGTGGAGAATTCGTGCGGGCTGGCGCGGTGGCTTCGAGATCTACTACCACCCCTTGCAGCAGAACTGCTGCGACTTCGCAGCGACCTTTTTGGAGCGGCTAGGGTTTAGTGTTTAGGGTTTAGGGTTCAGGGTTTAGGGTTTAGGGCAGCTGGCCAACAGAATCCGAGGCATTCCGGGTGTCATAGCGCGTCTCTCAGCGCATGCAAAATCTAATTTCCCAGACCCATGGTACCACAAGTGGGCTGAAATTGCAGGCCTTCCGGCTCTGGTTGAGGTCTTCAGGTTAAGTGACTCCTAGACTGTGAGCACAGAGACCACTTCCCAAAGCCAAAATATGGAAGCCGGAATAAGTACCAACACCAGTCCTTGTATGATAATTCTGCTCTATCAATTCAAGACCATTTAATACCCCAAGCGCTCTTTTAACTATTATAAGGCCCGCATATTAGACCCTCAGCCGCTTACCCGAAGCTAGATGTTCAGACGGAACGGCCCTAGCCTACAAAGACCCTACACAAGTCCCGTAACCTTTGGGAGCGTCAAACCTGCGACCCCAGACTGCACTCCTGAACCGAACCCAGACATTCAACACTTAAACAGAAGGTCCCGCAAAATCCAAAGTTCTTCTTAAAACCCTCAATATCCTAAACACAAGACCCCTCGAGCAACAACCCCAACGCTCGGAAGCTCGTAGAACCTTAGGCCCAGGACCCCAAACCCTCAGCTCTGAATTCCGAACCCTGACCTCATGGCCCCAACCTTAACATGCCGTAAAGCCCTTTCGACACCCTTCTAAAGCCCTCACACACACACACATACACACACACACACGCACGCAGCTACAACTCCATCGGAGAGCCTTGCTACCGAGAGGTCCTTGCAGAGGAGAAGACTGAGAAGGTGGAGGGCGAGGAGGGCGACGAGGCTAGGAACCTGGGGGGCTGGGTATCATGTTTATGGTTTAGGCCGGGAGAGTATCGCAGGGGCTTATGAGGGTTTGAGCAAGGTTAACAGGGGCTCTTGGAGGTGTACACGAGGCTCCATGAGGAGGGTTTCTGTAAGCCTCGTCAACAGAGCTTGATTTAAATATGAGGCTCTTTGGGCTTAGGGTTTAGGGTTGTGAGTTATATACGGGTTTCATAGGGCCGTATTTTTGGGACTGCGAAGAGGCTCTGTATCACTGTGCCACAAGGTTTACTCATTGAAGGTTTTTACAAGGGTTTAGGGTTTAGGGGTTTAGGGTTTACCTGTAACCCCAAACCCTACAAAATAGTAGGTTATGACCCCTTAAATACAGGGTAGAACCCTCAAAACGGTAGGCTTTTGGTTTGACAGGTAGGGGTTTAGGGTTTAGGGGTTTTGGGTTTAGGGTCCGAATCAACTTAAGGTTGCTCCTTTTTGAGATGATGTGCCCGGACCGTCCTCTGAAGGACCCTAGGCATCGTAAGGGCGTTGTGGGCGGTGTAGGGTTTTCCATAGTTAGAGGTTCAGGAACTGAGTCGAAACTACCGGAACAGAGGGACTTGTGAGTTGAATCAATTAGAATATTTAGGGTTTAGGGTTTAGGTTTTGTGTGTTGCTGTTTTGGGTGGTACATCACAGTATAGCTGCGAGCTTGTATAGAGACTATCCGGGGCTGGCGGCTATGAGACACTTTCGTCCGGGGTTCTTCTTTGTTGGGTTGGGGGGGTTGGGAGGTCGGGGACATGATGATGACAACATTATGATGACGCCGTGCATGACGACATGATGCTGGCTCGCATGGTGACTGTCGGATTTCATGACTTGTATCAGCAACTTACGAAAAATGCTGGCAGTCACTATGACTTTGGGATTCGACAAGACTGAAAGGTGTATGGACGACAGGAGAAACTGTCGCGAAAAACTAGTAGCATAGCTACTCACCCTACTTAAACCCCCCTCTTAACACCATCCATGAACGTCCAGGTACATCATGTAGTGGTCGTAAGAACCTGAACATGTGCTAATGAAGCCGTTTTTCAACGTTCAAGGTTCGGGCCACAGTGCTGACCAGGAAAAGCCTGCATCCCATACTGTAACAGAACAAGGAGGTACTCCTGCCCTCACATTGACATCCCCTCCCAGCCTGCACAAAGGGACCAAAGAGAATGCAGGTTTGGGCCTTAGGGACAGAGGTTTAGGGATTTAGAGTTTCGGATTTGGGGTTGAGGGTCTAGGACCCCGAAAACAGAGTAGCAGTGGCAGTAAGAGGAAAGACCCCAGCACAACACCAACACTCAGGAGCCTACATCCTGTTCAGGGTTAAGGCTGCTTTAGTTTAGGGCCTGTCGCAGAAGGGCTTTCAGGGTTCGCGGGCACTTATAGCAAGCAGGGTTGTGTTCTGGACTCGTAGGTAGCAGCACCCCCGAAGGAAGAAGCTAGCCACCTCCCTAGTCTCCAAGCCTCGTAAGTCTTCATCGCCACCATCGCAACCACCACCACCACCACCACCACCACCACCACCACCACCACGACGACGACGACGACGACTACTACTACTACTACGCCGACGACGACGACTACTACTACCACTACCACCACCACTACTCCGACGACGACTGCTACTACTAATGATGTTTTTTTGGTACTATTATTATTATTGCTGTTGTTGGTGCATTTCTTGTTTTTTGTCTAAACTGCTGTTCTCCTTCGCAAAAAGCCAAGAGCCTTCGGAGGCACAACCCGGTCCACGCCTTCCGGAGGAGTGCAGACACCGGATGCGCTTTCTTTCAGGGGTTAGGGATTCGGGTTTAGGGTTTAGGGTTTTAATGCATTTCGCCATGGGTTCTGTTTGTTGTCTATGCCGGGAGAGAGTAGGGGGGGATGTCGTGGTTTAGGCTCAATATGAGATGTAGATGTGTTTGATTCCGGATTGTTCGCATTTTGCGCCGAAGCCCTGTAAAGCCTAACTGCCTCATCTTGTTTCTTAACGCGAAGCCTAAGGTTCCAAACTCTATAAACCCCACTCTATAAACCCGACTCCCAAAACTCCCAAGACTAAGCTCTAGACTCTCATCTAAGTCCTTTCGACTCGTCCTAGAGTGGTCAGACGTCATGCGAAGTTGATCGGGCGCCATAAGTTGGGACCCCTAAACACTTCTAAATCCTAAACCCCCTTTATCCCTCTACAGCCTTAACCCTCAAGCCCTCATTAAATCCAGGAGCTTGGCGTCGAACCAACAGAGGGCCTGTTGTCCGGCAACGAGGAACACGGGTTCGTGGGGGATTTTGTAACGCAGACCTTTGATTAATAAGGCTCGATATTCCGAGCCTTACTGTAGCATGAAAGGTGTGGTTTTTAAAAGCCCTAAACCCCTAAACCCTCAACTTTCCTAAACCCTAAACTGAGGTCCGCATTCTTCTATGTTTCACTTCTTCAGGGTGCGTAGCCCAGAGATGGCTGTTCGGCCCCCGGACATTGAAGCATCGACCTTCATAGAACCCCTTAACAAACCGAATCCACTGCAAAATTCAGACCACCCTAAGCCCCAAGCTGTACTTGGAGGTTCGTGGGTAGTTATTGCAAGGACGTTGTAAGTAGGATGTCTAGTTCTAGCTTGTGACCGGACTTCTTTACAGTCCTGTTTATATCTACATTAGGCATCACTTTAGGCATGGGACGGCTTGTGAGATCCAGGGTGCAGAGACCCGGGTTTAGTGTATAAGGCTTAGGTTTTAGGGTTTAAGGCTTAGGGTTTAGGGCTTTGGGTTTAAGGCTTAGGGTTTGGGATTTAGGGTTTAGGGGTTGGGGCTTACCGCACTGGCACAGCATCGGAAAATCATCCGTGAGTTGAAAAGGGTTCCATAAGGGATTCTACGAGAGTGTTTCAAGTGTTTCCATAAAACGGTTTTACAAACAAAAACTGAGGAGGTTTCAACTTTATCACCACCCAAAACCTTGAAAAATGAACTAGAAACCCGAAGCCCAAAAAGCCCAATCACAAGCCCCACCCCTAAGGCTCCATGTACCTATACACGTATAAATTCAAGAAAAAAATATATATATATATACATACATAGAGAGAGAGAGCGAGATTATACACTTAGGTCCTGAGGTGCCTTTGTAGGAGCCCCGATAAAGGCCTAAGTATAGACCATATTTGAGTACATGGACCCTTCGGGTAAGCCCTGAAACCCTAAACCCGAAAACCCAAAACCCTAAGCCTCTTAGCCCACATCCCCTAAAGCCCCATCGCCCTCAACCCCACCCAAAGCGCAGGAGCGCGACATCCGCCTCAGCTTCCGTTCCGCCAGGGCCGCGCAGTTCAGCGCCTCGTGGACCTGCCCTGTCTTCTACTGGTAGGGCCCTTTCCCTGACGGTCCCTTTTCGAGGGCTGTCATAGGGTTTAGAGTTTAGTTCGGGTCCCTTATAAGGGCTGTTAATTACAGGGTTTAATTAGAGTTTAGGGTCCCATTTTAAGGGCTGTTATAGGGCTTAGCGTCTAGAGTCCTTTATCAGGGCTGTTATAGGGTTTAGGGTTTAGGGTCCCTTTTAAGTTCTTTTATAGGGTTCAGGGTTTTAGGGTCCCTTTTTCAAGGGCGGTAGAAGGATCTGAAAGGATTGTACCAGGGTTTCCCTAAGAGTCTAAGTACTTACTTGTTGTAGTGAGCAGAAGCTCTTCAAGACACCACCAAACTCTTTGGGAGTTTCCAACAATTAGGGTACCTAATTTGGGGCCCTTACAGTAAGGATCCTACTATTTGGGGTACTATATTAGGGCCCCTATTTTCGGAAACCCCCCATATGCATCTACTGAAACACAAGACTTGTGTGCAAACCCAAGCATCTTTCATGTATTGGGTTCTTGGAACCCTTTGGGTTTGGCTTCAATAGCTGAGGTAGCCCGGGAGGCTCAGCGATTCATCATTCCCGTTTCTGTATAGATCCCTCTAGAATTATGTGGTGGTGCGTGTGTAAATGTGTGTGTGTATATATATATATACACATATACATACATACACACATTGACATGCATGTGTATGTACATACACAGACACCAAAAAAATAAGTGGTGGTAATTCCAACAACCCTGCATTTCAGTCATGGACTAGATGCCAGGGCTGGGGGCCGCTAGGGCGGCATTGAGGGTTCACTGGAAACATGCATTTCCGGATTTTGTTCAGGGTTTAGGGTTTAGGGCTTTGGGTTTGGGGCTTATAGGGCTTAGGGTTTGTCGGGTTTAGGTTTCCGAGGGTCCACAACAACACGGCAAACTAGCTGTCTAAACCTTCGTCAAACCCTAAACCCCAAGCCCCAAGCCCTAAAGCCCTAGAGGCCTTTCTGACTTTCTGCCCTGAGCCCTAAGATCCTTGGAGCGGTAACAACTCGAGCCTCTGTGCGATTTGCTGGATCAAGGCGGCTCGAGGTTGAGGCTCAAGGGTGATGGTGCAGAGTTAAAGGGGCAATGCACTGACTAAGCTCTATGAAATCGCGAAAGTCGGGTCATACAGCCCTTACAGCACCAGTTGAAAACATATAAACTCGATATAGAACCCTTTTTAAGGACCTCATTTAAGTAAGAACTCTAAAGCCATCAAGCCTATCTATAGCCCTGTTGCCAGGCTACTCCTGGAGAGCCGCGATGCCGAAGGCTTGAACAGCTGGCAGCAGGCTCCGTTCAGAGATGGCAGCTTGGGGTCTTCGGGGGGGTAGGGTTTTCGGGGTTTCGGGTTTTGGGGGGAAAGGGGTTCGGGGTTTTGGGAGTTGAGGGGTTTAGGGTTTTGGGGGTTTATAGGGGTTTGGGGGTTTAGGGCTTAGGGTTTTGGGGCTTAGGGTTGTGGGGCTTTAGGGGACTAGGGCTTTGCGAGTTTACGGGTTTAGGGTTTTCGGGGTTTAGGGGTTTAGGGGTTTGGGGGTTTAGGGCATAGGGTTTTGGGGTTAGGGTTGTGGGGGTCTAGGGGATTTCGGCTTTGTGATTTTACGGGTTTAGGGTTTTCGGAGTTTAGGGTTTAGGGTTTTGGGGCTTGGGGTTGTGGGGGTGAAGGGCTTTGGGGGTTTAAGGGGTTTAGAGAGCTTAGCATCTGGGGTTGGCTGTGCTGAAAAGACCGTCAAAGGGTAAAAGGAGGGACCCTTAATAAGGCCCCCTAGGTCTATAACCTTCATTTACCCATTCTATAGCCCGTTAAAGAGTAGGCATCCCCCTAAACCGTAAACCCTAAATCCTAAACCCTAGACCTTAAACCCTAAACCATCCCCATTAAGGGTCCCTCCCTTTTGCCCTTTGAGACCGGCTCGTGGAGAGGCCGCGAAGCTGAGTGTGGCCGCCGAGTCCTTTGCCGTAGATGCCGTGATCGAGCCCGATCCACGTGAGGTCGGGCTTTTGGGGGCCTCGGGACATTGGGGTTCTGGGAATTCAGGAATTTTTTCATAATAAGCCACGGAATTGTTTTTATCTTTTTTTTTTGGATAAGGGCCTGCGTATGATTTACAGAGCTTTTTTTTGTTGGGGGGGGGGGTCCTGTTTATACTGTAAAACCCTTCAAGCGTAGACCATAGAGAGAGCGTGTGTGTATGTATGTATGTATGTATGTATGTATGTATGTATGTATGTATATATATATATCCTGAAGCCATCGACCCTAAACGTCAGACTCTAAACCGTACAAGCTCTAAACCTAAGCCTCAGACCACATGGGTGGGTGTCAAAAATATTGGGGTGCCATAAATATTCGGTGCCGTATTATATTAAGGACCTAGAAAGGGACCACAAGGGACCATCATTTTGACAACCACCCATATGTTTTCTGGGTGATGCATCCTTTGGGGCCTGCTGCAACTCCCAGACCATACACCCTCTCAAACCCATGTAAGGCCCCCACGAACAGTCCTTGGCCAAGCCTCGAAAGACTCTCTTGAGCCCGAGGATACCCCAAAGCTCAAACTACTGGCTTGTACAGTTCCCGGGTTTAGGTGTGCGGTGTTAGGTGGAGCCGAAGCAAAGACGACCTTTGGAAGGTGGCGTTGGACTTCGGCACCGTGCTCGTCCATAGCAGTGCCGACCTCGGACATCAGCCATGGCAAGCTTTGAGATCTGACCCCATTCTCAGACATAGACTCCCATAGACTCCCATAGACTCCCAGACCCCACTTATCTCCAAGCCCGAAACCAGCAAAAGGACGTAACTGAAGCCTGGAGGTTTCGTGAGAGACTTGGAGTGTGCACGTCTAGTTTTTGAAAAAGTTCAGGAATTCGGCAATGCTTAGCTGCTGGGCAACTGCAGCGGTGCTGCCTGCTGTGAGCTGTCTTATGTTTGTTGGTTCAGTCGTTCGTTCGTTCTCTCTCTCTCTCTCTCTGTCTCTCTCTCTCTCTCTCTCTCTCTCTGTCTCTCTCTCTCTCTCACTCTGTCTATGCCTCTCCCTCTGGTGTCTCTCTCTGTCTCTCGACCACTCTCTTGCTTGACATTTGGCTTGCTGATGAGGCGTGCAGCGCACTTTCGACATTGTGAACCGTGGCAAGTTCCCAGTGCGTCCTGCACTCAGTGACTCAAGCAAACACTCTAAGATTCTAGGACGTATGCCACGAACGATCCGCTGCATGATCCTGCGCCGTTGAGCAGCGAGATTCCTGTGATCCTCTAAGACCATCCTCAATGTTGTAGCTCTTGTCGAATGAATTCGCCGACAACCGCAATGTGTCCTCTATGCCGCTTTTATTAGAAGCGGTGGGCTCAACACCGGCATACATCATGTCTCGCATGGTGCGAACTGGTTTCATATGCTTTCATAGACTGTAATCATTCCGGAACTTCCAAACTCCATGAACCCGCAGTTGCCGAAGATTTTCAAACCACTGCAAGGCGCTGAAGCACAACAGCCTGCATACGGCAGCTTGCTTTGGCCGAAAAGTAGGACCTCAACAACCTTCGAGTAGACGCCAACATAAAACATACCCACAACACCCTGAATGCTACTAAAGCACCATGGACCAAACCTCAAAGCCCAAAGCCCTGAAACTATATGTTATACACTCATCATCCCTACACGCCATGTCCTTAATTCCTAAACCAAAGCCCTGAAACCTTACGACGTAATTACTTTCCCTACTTCCTAAACCCCTAACCCCTCTACCCATATCCATCAACCCTACACCCTTGCCCCTAAGCCCTAGAACCCCGAAACCCGGCGGAAACCCTCGACTCTAGAACCTCACCCCCCGAAAGACGTAAGGGATCCGAACAAATCAATGCCATATCAAAGCTTCCTGTATACTGTACGAAGCCATAAACTCACAAAGAAGACTTCGAAACTCCAAAGCACCCCAAACGACCCTTTTAACAACCCTAACCCCTCCTAGTAGCCCTTGTAGAACACGTGCAGAAGCCCTTCAACTAAAGAACCCTTGAAAGTTCATGTTTTCAGGAACAGAGAGAAGCACGGACCCTCAACCCTAAACTCTTTAAAGGGCCGTGAAAGCTCTGCGAAGGACCGTTGAACCCATGAGTGGGCCCTCAACCTCAACCCAGTAAGTGAGACCCGAGACACCCATATGTTACTCACTGGTGCAGGGTTAGGGTAAGTTTAGGGTTTAGGG